ATTTTAGTGTCAGCTGCATCCAGCTAATGCCAACATGGCCACTCCTAATAAATCAATTTTTTTTTAAACTCTGAGAGATGCGGCTAGAGACTTATGATTTGAATGGGGGTGGATTTGTTGATTGTTGTTGGGGCCCTGACACAAAGAGCCGTTTGGACCCGTTTCCCACAGAAAAGAAAACATCAGGAGCCACAAAACTTGGGTGGGCATGGCCAACTCAGCGCCACTCCCACCCAGTCACATGACCACCACCCGCGACCACGCCTACCCAGGTTTTGTGGCTCCTGGTGTTTTCTATGGGAAATGGCTTTCCCTCCATCCCTCTCATTTCTTGTGTTTTACCTTCACAGGCATGGCGAAGTGACTGGGTGGGGAGGGGAGGGCGAGGGGCGGGGCCAACCAGTGGTGGGATCACCCAACAGGGAGCCACAGCAGAGGGCCCAAAGAGCTCTAGAGCCGCAGGTTGCCAACATCCGTGACCTAACCCTTCCTAGATATTACAACCTTTGTTTTCTAAGGAATGTGTGGATACTAGCAGGAGTGACAGAATGATTTCAGGGTAAACAGACTATTTGTCACCAGGCTTTATTTTGGGGTTGTTCCCAACACATGAAGTGAAACTTATATCTACCGCATTCGGAGGCAACAATGTGAAGAGAGATTGGCTTCTTGTGCCCAGGCTACAACACTCATTTTTGGAGTAAGGAAAATACGATTACAGGTTGAGATGTGATGTGGCAAATTTGATTATTCATTATAGCTCGGGCGGAGTTGAAATTGGGGAGGATAGGATTTCTTCTCTCTGACTTCAAGGTCAAATGAGAGCATTTACCATTCTCTCTCTGTTTATTTTCGGATGCAAATTGCATTTGGTGATTCAAATTGATGAAATGTAAGGAATATAAAACTCATCAGAAGCAACATGGAGAAGAAATTACCGGGTAGAGATGGCTGATAGCTCCACTAGTCCATGTCCTGGACTTTCTTTTGATTAATAATTATTTCAATCCTTGTTATTTATTTTCTTTCTTCATTCTCAATTTTATTTAAGTTGTTTTGAGTTCTGGGTCTTTTCTTTTTTTTTAAAGCAAAAGCGTAATTGCGTTCTGAAGTATTTAGAATCGGAATTTAGATGGTTGAAATATCCAGCTGCAGGCAAGCAGCTCCTACTACAACTTGGGGGAACCAGCATTTTCTCCACTTCCCATTTCTCCTCCTTTCTGCAAATACCCACTCCCTTTTAGCACTGATGATGTTACTTAGTTGGGTCATGAAACGTCTGCAAGAAACCAGCCAATCTCAGAGGACCACCAAGGATCCCACAGTCCTCCTTCTCCTCCTCTCTCTCCTCCTCCCTCTCTTCCTCTCTTCCTCTCTCCTCCTCCTCCATCCCTCCCTCCCGCCCTCCTCCTCCTGTCCTAAGATCTGACCTACCTTAATCAGGTAGCCTGAATGAGAGGCTCTCCATCTCTTCCATTTCCAAGACCACCTATTTTAAGAACCATCTTCCAGGTCTCTTGGTTTGGAAAAGAACTTGACCCTTGTGCATGGACCAGGAAATGGGACTTTCATGTCTCCTCCACCCCTGTGGCTTAGCTTCATTTGACAGCATCTCATGCAGCTGACTTCATTGGATGTTCTTCTTGTCTCGACTATCATTTTGGGAGAGTTTGCTTATCTTCCTTGGCATGTCGATGAAGTTGCGTCCCAGTAGGAGAATCCCTCGTCTCCGTCCCCTTAAATACCTCACCCAAGGCTTCTTGTCATCTTCAGACCATGTAGTTAAAGCAGAGCAGCCTTTTTTTAAAATCAAATGCTCTCCCCTATCTTCGGGGGGCTTGAATTCCTTCCTAAAAGAAATCCTGGTCGAAGATAAATGAAATTTTGAATATCCCGGAGCAGTTTTTTTTGAGAAAGAAGCTATTAAAACACATCTTAGTGTGTCTGTGTTCATTGGCAAGGCTAACAACTTTTTTTTTTTTTAAATGGACTTTTATCATTGAAATTATTCTGAAGAATAAAAAGGGACTTGCAAGACATTTCCCAGCAACTTAAAAACCCAAAGTTTCTTCCCCTTGATTCGAATTGTTAGATTTACAGCATCCAATGACGTTATTGAGGCGATAAATAGGAATGGTTCTCCCCCCCCCCACCTCTTTTTTAAGGCCAGCAAAATATACTTTGAACTTGCAAAGACTTTTGAAAATGCCACCAAGGCCAAGGTTCAAGCGAGTTATCAGATGTCGGGTTTAATTTTTTATGAGCTTTGAAAAAAACAAAACAAAAACAAATTGAAAAGGGTTTGGATCGTGCGACCTTTTATGAGTGGGACATTTATCCAGCCAATAAATAGGTTTCTTTTGTAGCCGTTGACATCCTGCTTTGAGCTTTTATATACAACGCTCTAATGGTGGAATCAAAGAGTACAGAATTCTAGATTCTCCATCTATTTTGGGGAGCTTTTAGTCCACATTATGGGACCGAAGACGAAAATTCCTGCAACGAAGGTGTTGGCCCTTTCTGCGGGTGGGCTTAGCTATTTGCAGAAGATCATTTTATCAAAAGAACAGGTTTCTCACCTCGATCCCGTTGTTTTTAAACTTATTTAATCTCTGTTTATTTCAACGTCCGAGGTTTTAACTCGTCGTATTTGCTTTTATGACGTTGCGAGCTGTCCAGAGTCGCTCCAAAAGGAGAAGGGTGACACAATAAATTTAATAAATAAATAATCAAAAGTGAGAACGTTCGTTATCTTACCCACTACACCCCGTAGCTTTCCAGCTCAGCTTTCTTTCCAGCAAGAGGGTTGTTCTGACCAAGACTTATTGAGACACTAACAGACACGAATCACTGCAGCTGTTAAGTTAGTCACATGGTGGTTAAGTGAATCCGGCTTCCTCACGGACCTTGCTTGTCAAAAGGTCGCAAAAGGGGATTGCGTGATCCTGGGACATTGCATCCGTCATAAATGCGAGTCCCTTGTCAAGCGTCTGAATTTCAATCACGTGACCACGAGGATGCTGCAATGGTAGTAAGTGTGAAAAACGGTCATAAGTCACTGTTTTTCCACAGTGCCGTTGTAACTTTGAAAAGCCAGTAAACAAACTGTTGCAAGTCAAGGGTTACCTGTATTGTATTGTGTTTAGATGTCAGTTTTGTTCTGACCCAAGGCTTCCCAAGATCATGAAGCCGACTCCTCATTCCGATAAAACCCCTTTTATTTTAGTTAAAGGGAATTCCCCTCCAGCAAAGTCCCGGGCCAACAGTCTTCCAAGAGATTTCACAACTACAGACCTTTATCAGTCTTGGAGAGCTGCCAGGCCGATACCTTCCAAACGCCAGGCTGTAGCAGACAATACTTGGCAAGGAGTCAGGAACAGATCTTCACCTAAATGAATTGAACTAATTGTCTCCTGCAAATCCCACTCCCCTTTTGCTCCTCTTTATTCCCTCTGGGAGGGGCCATTCACCATCCACCTGTGTCCTTACTCCCGAGTCGACCCTTGTTCCTTAACTGTTCCCTTCTCCTGGCAGCTCTGTGCATGCGCACACTGGGAACAGGCTCCAGCTATTCTTCTTCCCCACTGATCTCCAACTCCGAAGGCAGCTGATAACTGTTGGAGGCCCCATCTCTGCCTCCGACGCAGAGCCCTCGTCAAGAGTCTTCCCCAGACTCCAGGACTGGCCCACGTTCCTCCCCAACCTCCTCACTGTCTAGTCTGCCACCACCTCCACTGGTGGGCCACGACAAGTTTTAAACATCCACATTTTTGCAAAAAAAAAAAAAAAAGAACAGCAAGCAATCCTAAAACTTTTAGGCAGAATGGCAAAATCTCAGGAGGACTTGTAGTGGGACCTGCTTCGGCATTGGGGCTGCTGTCTGTTCAGGATCCTCAACTAATCCGTTTCAGCGTCAGGACGAAAATTTCCAGCAAATCCAATTTTGCGTCTACCGCACACGCTCTTTCTCTGTCTCTCCTCTCTCCTTGCTCAGTGGTGTCGTTCCCAGCTAGTTTATCCAGGAATAATCATGCATAAAATTGGGTTCTTTCATCTGTGTTCTGAAATCTTTGCAAGGAAAGTTGAAGAGGGAAACAGATTCCCTCCTTTTTCCAAGACACCAACGCGCCCGAAATCTTGCCTTTCACAACAGCCTAGCATAACCCTGGCATGCTACTCGGTGGCAAAGATTCCATTCGCCGTGTAACTAATTAATTAAAACGGAGAGGTGGGTGGGGTGGAGAAGAGGGGACGACAACAGAGGCCTGGTACTGTTGTGGTTATTGAATTAGTCATTTTTCACAGTAGATTTATAGCCTTCGCGAGTAGCTTCCCCACCTGACTGCAACACTGGAAAGGATCCATTTTACAGACTATTAAATTGGGGTATGAATGGCTTCAAATTGAGCCGCTGCTTGCATAGAGCCCTTTAATTCATAGAAAAATCTAAGATGCTTGCAGGGACAGTTAGCAGAGGGGGGAAAGGATGGGATGGACTCCTAGCAGGGAGAGAGCTTTTGGGGGAAAAAGAGAGCGAGAAACTTGGCAAGTGAAGGGACAGTTTTCCAGGTATACGTACCTGTGTCTGTGTTAAGGGATCCATGTAAGCCATTCACCTTGCTATAAAGGTAATTTTTGTGTGGTGTTTCAAGAAGGCCCCTTTTGTTTCTTTTCTTGAGCAGATGGCATCTACAGAGCTCGTGCATCCATCGATGTACAAATTCAGGCTCAATGTTTCAACCTTAGAACCATTCGGTCCAACACCTAATGTCAACAATTGAAATGCAGATATTTTAACAACCATCTGTGAGGATCAACCACTAACTATATTCCCGACGGAGCAAGCAAGGAAGACTTTGGGGAACAAATAGCAACCGTTTCCCACTTCTGAACGCTTTTCAGAAAAAACAAAAATTACCACCACCCCCTCCACCCCCCCCAAAAAATGACTCTTACTTTTCCATCTTCAATTTCCCTTCTTTCTTTCTTTCTTTCTTTAGAGCCCGGCTGTTGGAGAACGCACGGAAACAACTGCAAGAAAAGTTCTTAAAGGTTCAAAACCAGCTCCTGGAAGAAAATAAGAAGTGTGAGCAGCAAGAAGCAATGGTTAAAAATCTCCAGAAACATGTGAAGCTTCTTACCAACGTAAGTCTTCTTGGTGGAGAAATCCAGGATGTGTGATGCTTCTCCTGTCTTGTGGGAAAACTAATGAAATTTGGTTTCTGACTTGCGAGATGTTCCAAACCTGGAAATGTGGATTTTAGGCTTCAAACCATCTCTTATTGTTCGTTCTAACATTTCTCTGTGCCTGTGTTTCACTTTGCCGCTTATGGGTAGATCCGCTCCATGATGGCGTGCTTATTTATTTCTGAATTTGCACCTGATTTTTCCACGAACAGCCGAGAACGGAGACGTCTAACCAAGTCCTCTCATTGAAGCTTTCCCTCCTAACCCAGGACAAAAGGTTTTTGTTTTAATTAAATGAAAGCGATCACGTAATTTAATATTAAATCGAGCAAATATATTACCTGTTAAAAATAATAACTTTGCCCTGGAAGCTTTAGAACCGAGACTGATATTTAATGATCTAATTAGCATGTCCTACGGCTGGAGCAGTTGCTCTAAGTACCGCTAAAAAGAGAAAAGAGAGGAGGGGAAGGCAGGTAGCTCAGAATGGAAAACCTTCAGCGTTTTTAGAGATGATGATGATGATCATATAGCTTATAAACAAATTAAAAAAAAATGTTCTCAGAACCTACAACAAATCTGTGCTTTCTCCAAATCGGGGGCCACTATGAGATTGAGGTCCATTTTCTTGTCCAAACTGCCTGTCCTATGGTTGGTGAGGCTTCCAACCAGCTGGATTTCCTTCATGAACATGGAATTCTGGGGGATATTTGGTTGTGGGAAAGAGGATTCTAAAAGTCTTATTTGGCAGGACGTCATAAATTCCTTCGTATGTCATCAGGGAAATGCCCCGTTCTGATAGAAGCTCTTTTGAGGATTATCTTTGCGCATTTCAAGGGCCGAGTTTGTCATAACTGAGAAAGACAATAAACGGCCCTTTTTTAAAATTGTACTCGGGCCGATTGTGGTTGCGTGTTTTGCGGTGCGGCCTGGAATTAAAACATGACACAACGGCGGTTGTCGGTCTAGCGCGGCGTGCGTCTTGATTCGGCCACTTCCGACTGCTTATTTGTGAGTTGGTTATCCACGAGGCATCGCCTCGGCTGCCCCAATTGGTATGAAGGGTCCTTCCTCAGCTCAGAGACGCAAGCAACCCCAACCCGCCACCCCCATTCGTTGCTGGTTTCTGTGTCCTATTTGTGCTTCCCTCTGTTGAGGAGAACGGGGCCAAACAACGCCCAGGGAGTCTGTTTCTTTGCAAATGACGTTATTTTCCCAAAACGAAATGCACCAGTTCTAGGTTCATTCTTCAGTGTCTTTCTTCTTCTTCTTTTGCAGTCTCCCATTCTTGCTAATATCTTTTCTATTAAAGCGATGATGAGGCTTGCTTCACACTTCCGATGTAATATTCCTGTCACTTTCTACTGAAGGGGAATAACTTGGGCTGCTGGGTGGTGCGTTTCATCGTTATATTCATCAGAAAACATTACCTGCCTCCTTGACATTTGAAAGCCTCCTATTCAGGAAGTGCAACAGATCTTTATATGTATTTGTATATATATCTTTTCCAGGAGACCTTTATTAAACAACTCCAAATCTAAGGGTTTAATTGTTGCTGATAGCTGAGGGTATAATTACCTTGGTGAAATATCATGACTATATTAAGCAAATGGAAATTGGCTGCCGGAATTAGGCAAAGACAAAAGAGAGAGAGAGAGATTGTAATATGCCTTTTTTTTTTGCATCGTCTCTTTAAGGAAAATGAGCCCTGAGACGCACATCTGTTGCCTTCCAAGGGAAAGTTGTTCTTTGAATTCACTTGCAAAGTTTACAAAGCTAAACATAATTAGGGCCATTTCCTTTGGTGAGAAAACAAGATACATTCACCCGTGGCAGAGAAACCGACACCCCTGGAAAGTGTCTCTAGAAATGCTATTTACTCGGATGAAGAGCTGAGCTCAAGATTCATTTTGTTAGCAATAGAGGCGAAACCATCATTTACTCAGTTGTGTCCCCGTGAACTTTTTGGAGCTGTGCGCAGGTAACACTCCAGCTAAGACTATAAATCCATTTGCTCAGAGTTCTGGTGGTGTCTGAGGTTAACAAGGACGCCTTATTAATGGCAGTGATAGAAAACCAGGCTACAAAGCACTGTTTTCCGAGGTGTCTCCTAGAAACACTTCTTCAAAAGTCTGCTCTTATTTTCTGAGCTGAGTGGCCAGGAAGGGTGAAGAACGCATGGAAGTGGGAAGAGATGGACATCGAGTCTTTTCCGTTTTTCCCAGCCACACTTTGGTAGGGCTCCAATGCTTGGGAAATTGACCGAGGCCAACTTCGGAGGGACAATATGATGACTCGTGGCGTGGCACAAAGACAACCCAGCCAGATAATAAGTAGGAGTCCCTTTATTAGCTCCAACTTTGTCCCCAATGTTCCGGTTACCTTCCGGTTTGGAGAAAAACTCTCCTAGGAACCTGCAACAGCCTTTGGCTGCAGATATTGTAGTCCAAAACATTGTAAACAGAAAACTTTAAAAATCCAGCAAAGCAAGGTAAGGCAATAAATCTGGCAGGGGTTCCAGAAGTGAAGTAACACAGCAGTAAATCAAACCAGTTGGAAGGATTCCAGGAATGCAGATAACAGCAGCTAACATGATAAACTCAATGTTTGTTCTCGGAAAACACAGCTTGCAACTGCCTCTCCTTTAAACTCCCTCCCTGGGTATACCTTGTGATGGCCCTCTCCTCCTTTGTAAGCCACGCAACCCACGTTGCTCCCTTCTCTGTTCTTCCCTGCGTGCCCTAGGATGAAGAGGTTGGGTGGGCCTGGGTCTTCCTCTGAATTCCCTCTCCTTTGTTCTACCTCTCCCCTGCTCTGCCCAGCCAGACTTTGCCCTTCCCCAGTTTCCTCCACAGCCAACGGAGCCACACTCCCATTCCCTGTCAGCTGTTCGTCTTCCTCCTTGGAGTCAGACTCTGACAGACATGACAGACAAGGTCAGGCATGAAGAACACGTAAGGTTGCAGTTCAGAAAATGTATCTCTCAAATCTATATACAAAAATCTACGTTCATCACTAAATCAGCCTTAGATAAGAGAACGGAATTTGGGAGGGGTTGGACTGGGAGCATTTGTGGCAATGTAAGGATTCTAAGCTGATGACAAGTTTAACGCCGCCCTCAGCTCTGCCTGCTCTTCTATACATGCCTGTGAAGAGCTGGTTTCAGATGTACATGCCTGTGAAGAGCATCTGGTTTCAGATGTAACGGGGAGCCAGGAACCCATACAAGGGATGCTTTTTGGGTTTTGGGGGAATCTGACTTTGTGGTCTCCTGGAGAAATGAAGTTGCAACATCTTGTTTTCCCTTTATCTGGCCCATAATTATCCGTTCACATTCATTTCTGGGAAAACATGAGTGATGGGAGTGATTTATGGGAGTTATTTAAATCAGAATAAACACTCCAATCTCCCTCCTAGGGATTTTTTGTGCATCCAAGGCCCGCGTAAAGTTTCGCCTCCCCAACAGGTTCTCTTTCGGGCGAAAAGAACTTGAACATTTTGGGTGTCTGTAAGTTAGAAACACGCGAACGAAAGAGGGAGGGAGGGATTTCTTTTGACTTCCCTTATCTACGCCTCTCCTGGGAGACACACACACACACCCCCCTCTCCAAGGTTGCAAAAGGGAAGATGTTTTACATTCGGCGAAAAGAAAAAGGAGATTAATCCAGGGTTACGGCTGACAATTGCAGCGCTCCCAGATCAGGCAATTCGGGAGCCCGCGCTTTCTCTGAGGCTAGTAAGTCGCTGGATGGATCGGTTCCGGTTGGCGGCAAGTCACAGCGGAACAGTCACGCTTTAAGCTCCCCCCACCCCCCGCCTTGAACTCGGGTGGCTGCCGGCGGCGGGGATAAGGCTGGGATTTCAATGGTGAAAAGAGTGAGGGGTGAGGCAGTCAGACCCCCAGAGAAGAGGAAAACGAAGGAGACAACTCAATTCCGGCAAGGAGATTTCCTGCTGCCTCCAGTAGGCCTAGCCTGGAGCTCTGTGGGTGACCAGGAGGCCCCCATGGACTTTATCCACCGATGCTTGTAAGTGTAGGTGTGAACAGGAGGAGGTGGACACGTAATCCTTCTCTCAGGTCTTCAGAACCAAGGGGTGCTCTAGGCGGTGGGTTGAAGCAGACCGAGAAGCAAGCAGCGGCTTGTGGAGTGCAAGAGCGCTATGTTGGCTTGATACGGTTGGTCCCAACTGAGATTGGGACCATCCCTGCTTGCTGCTAATGGGACATGCATGAGAAAGCTGTTGGTGGGATGCCCAAGATCCATCCTTCCTTCCTTCTTCCCTCTTTCCCTCTACTTTCCTTCTTTCCTCCCTCCCTTCTCCTCTTTTCTCCCTTCCTCCCTCCCTCCCTCCCATGCTCTCATCCATCCATCCATCCATCCATCCATCCATCCATCCATGGTCCTGTGAAGCAAAGGCATCAATTAGACCTCTGCTGGGGTTACTGGAAATCCTGCCAAGGATCCAACCATTTCCTTCCTTCCTTCCTTCCTTCCTTCCTTCCTTCCTTCCTTCCTTCCTTCCTTCCTTCCTTCCTTCCTTCCTTCCTTCCTTCCTCTCCCACTCTTTCTTCTCTCCCTCCCTTCCTCTCCCACTCTTTCTTTCCTCCCCCCTCGTTTTCCTTCCTTCCTTCCTTCCCTTCCCTTCCCTCCCCTTTCCCTGCAAAGGAACATTAACGGAGATGCAGCTAACTTCACTTCGGGGTGTGTGTGTGTATGTGTGTAAGTGTAAATGTTCCATAAAAATAATCCATAAGTATTTTGCAGGCCCATCAATACAGCGTTTGTACAACACCCTTCTTTTCCAAGACAAATATCCGATTCCAGTCTCGGTTGTTGTCACCCCAGCAGAGCTCTTGTCACTATTTGTCAGAATCAAGAGAGTTTGGGCCAAATCTAGCACACTTAATTTGTCACTTGTGTCCCTTTGTGATAAAGTTGTATTGATTTATTGAAACG